TATAATTTCTAGATCCTTGCTCATTGAGTCACTGGTGTTATACTCTCCTTTAATTCTTTAAATATAGTTGCATCTAGTTTCTCGAACCTGTTTATAATAATTTCTTTGAAGATTTGGCCTGCTAAACCCAATATCTGAGGACACTACCAGGCAGTTTCTATTGACTGCTTTTTTTCCTCTGAGTGTGAATCACACATTACTGTTTCTTTGTAAGCCTCATCATATTTTGTTGAAACCTCAACATTATAGGTACATATTGTAGTAACTCTAGATACTGATTTTTCCCCACTTGAAGGTTATTGTTTGTTTAATAACTTGCCTCAGCTAAATCTGTGAAATCTGTCTCCCTCACCTCATTGTGTGTGGTTATGATATCCCTGTTGAGTTCCTGTTAACTATTACTACTCTTATTTTTCATTATTAAGCCTAAACTCTTAAGAGTCACCTTTGTGTCTACATAGGTTGGTAGTCAGTCAATGATTAAACAGAGGATGCGATCCACCCTCTCAAGGCCAAAAAGCTCTCATCTCTGCCAGTGAATCTGTGGGTGGGTGGGCACATGCATTCAAAGACCAAGCTGTTTTATGTCTGCCCAGACTTTCACTTGCTGTTGGGCCCTTCCGTGTCTCCTCTGCACAAGCAAGCCTCAAAGTTGGCCAAGAGTATATAGGCCGTTTGAGCTCTGTACAGTCTTTGCTGCATCTCACACAGGAATATGCTCACTTTAATCACTCCTGCAACCTCAGGCTTCTAGGGATGTTGGCCTTTCCCATTCACCCTATTTCTGAGATTGTCACTTCCACTGACAATGCTGGTGGGTGTGGGCATCACCGGCCACTTGAAATCAAGTCAATTCGGCAACACCACTGCTAGTCCTCATCGCTTGCCTTGCCCTGGCCGAACCTCCATGCTAACAAAGCTGTAGTGGGAGGAGGGAAAATGAGAGGAATCTCAACAACATCGGAGACTCCCACTGTCCTTACAGAAAGTCATACTGTTCTTTGAATATAAATGCTTCTCAGATTGTTGTATAACTTTGGACAGTTTCTAGAACACTGAAATTATTATTTTTGTCAATTCTGTCCAGCTTTATAGTTGCTTTTTAGTAAGGATTTGCCAACCTCCTCACTGAGCCATAGCTAATCCATATTTTCAAATTCTCATTATTGCTTCATTTCGCATATTTAATTATTAGTAAAATTGAACATTTTCTTTTTTATATTTCCCATTGAGTGAATTTTCCATTCTCCGGTTCCACTTCTTCATATCTGGATACTTTTCTTATCTCTGTGAATTTATTACCTATGTTAAACCTCTGACTATATGTTTGATGTAATAAACTCAGTTATTTTTCTCATGTCATTTTTATAATTTTTCTCAGGAGCTTTTTATTTCAAGCATTGGAGTGTTTTCTTGTCTTTGAAGCCTGAGAAAGTTCCCAGTTACTCTTCACCCAAACCATTTACAGTGGCTTATTAATAAATTCCCCAGTTTCCCATCTTCAACATACCCTATATACTGCTTCTCTTATACAGGCAAGATAACCATCAAGTGCTAATGAATTAAATTATTTCTAACAGGCAATTCTGCTAACAGGAGGCAATGCAGTTTTATTTTATTATCATAATATTTTTAGCTTCTGACAAGGTAACACCAAGAGGTTCTGGACAAATATTAATAAATTATGACATCTGTAACTTGGCAACATTATTAACATGTCACAAAATGCTAAATTATTTCAGACATTTAGATTAAATATGCTTTTTCCTTCTATGTTTACTTCTTCCATCTCATTTACCCTTGAAATGGATTCCTTCATGGTTGGCAAGCTGTAGCCCAAGCTTTGTCTGAAACAATTACTAAATGATTACAACACGAAATTGGAAACTGGACAAGGTGTATGAGCTCAAATAGAAACCTGATCCCCAGATGCAGGTTAAGACACGATAATGAAGAGGAGCATGTAAGATCCATAATCAGAAAAGGTCACCTGTGTAATGGGTGTTCACAAGAATCTACACGCTGATAAGAGGACTTGCTACCTTAAGTCACCTTCCCAGAACTAACTTGCCCTTACATGAGATTTACAGGCAGCAATATGTTGAGAGCCTGATGAATCCACCCTCCAATGCACTAACAGGAAACAATCAACCTAGGAGGTTACAGGGATAAAAGCCTTTAAGAAACTGCAATATTAACAAAAGTATGTTGGTGAAAGATGATATAAAGTAGCATATGCAAATGAACTGGTGGGCCAGCAGAAAGCCCACAGGAAAGGAAAGAATAATTTGCACTGCATTATGATATGATCCAAGGCTTAAAGAGATTCTGTTTGTTGCACTTGAAACGAGAATGATATGAGCAGTAATAGTGAGAATCCATCCAGTTCTCTGGTTCTCCAGAGAGGAATGGCACTAGACATATATTGAGAAGCAACAAGGCAAGAAGCTATGAGAAACGACATCATAATGTATTAGGCAGTGTGTGTATGTGTGTGTGTGTGTGTGCGCGCGTGCGTACACATTTATATACATATATATGACAAGGCAGATATCGCTACCTACATTTTACATATAATGATACTGAGGCTTGTTAGCTTGGTCCTCTAGCTCCAAAGCCTATGCATTTTCCACTATGACAGCTTTAAAATTTTTCATTAGTTATCTTGAATGTGGAGAGAAGGTTTCATAAACATCCCATAATAGGACTCATATCCTTCTCTCTAAGCAATCCTTTGGCTTTCCAGAACAAAACCATTTCATGAAAGGAGGTAACATGTGCTAAAGTCACTCAGAGAAAGCCACTCAAGATCTCTCCTCACCCAGGCTGACAGTGCTTATAGCACATCTACACCAGATGGAAAAAGACACTGAGCCTAACTCATGTCTTATTCTACGCATTGACCATGTTGGACGGAACAGCCAGCGAGCTAATTGTCAGAAAGAAAGCTCAGCATTAGAGATATGATTGCTTCAGCAACTACATTTAGTCCCAGGGGCTCCTCAGTCCATGAATGAGTCATTAGAAATAACAACAACAAAAAAATGAATCATCCCTTATCACACCATGGCTATATGAAGAAAATCACCAGCACGAAAAAGGAAGGGCCAGGGTTTGGCGTTCTTAATGATTGAGTAGGAGTAACTATGTAGCTGTCCTAAATGAATCAGGTCATTAATATAAAGAAAATGTTTTCAATATAAAAATGTCTTGATTTGCTGGCTATAAATACTATCTCTATAAATACTATCTCAATAAGGAATGACATAATCTGAAACCAGGTTCTCCTTCTCTATAATTATATTCAAATTGCCCAAAGTCCATCTGTACTGTCAAATGAAACAGAAATGGGGCCAGAATTCTAGTGACTCAGGCAAAACTTCCTGGGAAACTTGCTGATACTTTTTTTTCTACACCAGAATTGTTCCCTTTGCTCCAACTGCCTTCATTTTCCTCTTAGTTCTAGAAGTGGAGGCTGTTTAGAAACAGGGTAAAGAGATAAAATTGACAAGGTTTCAAGGCAGGGTGAAGAGGGGCCAAGGGAATGTTTACGTGTGGTCACATGTATGTGGGCACGTGTGTTAAGTCTGGTGCGTAGGTTACAGGGAAGCAGGTATGGTCTTAAAGAGGATACCAAAAGCAAAGCTAATCTTAATCCCTACTCCCCACGAAAAAAAAAAAGGCTAAGGAATCAATCAGTCAAGAACTAGAAAATTGATCTAGGGGTCATGAAATCTAATCTTTAGTCCACCAGTAATAATACTTTGAACAAGTTAATTGCTCCTGACTCTTGTCTCTTTTTTTCATAAAATTTTCAATAACCACACAGGAATACTGGGAATAAAATTAAATAATAGCTCGGAAAAGGATGTGAAAAGTATTTAAAGCTTTATTATTGCAAGATATGCTGAGGAACTGTTTACAAATTCAGGTAAACCTAAAGTAAATGAACCACAGTAACACAAGCCAGGTCTATGGTAATAAGCCATCACCTAGGATTAATCCATCTCCCAAGAGCAGAATAAATACTTAGAAATAACCCATTTGCAAGTATTGCCCCAAGACATAATAAATGACCATGATAACTAACTTGGGGAACCAGAATTGGAATTGGATTATGTGAGAACAGAAGGCCTATAAATACTCTAAGCAAATATTTCTGTTTAATATGTGAGGCCAAGCAATGAAGCAGTGTTCATGTTGTAGTGGAGTGAAGTCAAAGAAAATCAGATTCTCTCTAGAAGAAAAACAAAAGAAAACGGAAGCTATTCTTTATGATTTGCTGCCTGCTTAAGATTAGACTTGACAACATTCAATAAAGCAAATAAATTTCATTCACTGAAATGGTGGTGCTGACCAACTAGCTTTGTGTGTCTCTATCATTGCTTGGAAACTCGCATGCTTATAATAGGATGAAAATAATAGATGTTCAATGTAGCTCCTTAGTTAACATTTTTTTCTTTTTTTTTTTTTTTTTTTTGGGGGACAGAGTTTCGCTCTTGTTACCCAGGCTGGAATGCAATGGCGCGATCTCGGTTCACCGCAACCTCCGCCTCCTGGGTTCAGGCAATTCTCCTGCCTCAGCCTCCTCAGTAGCTGGGATTACAGGCACGCGTCACCATGCCCAGCTGATTTTTTGTATTTTTAGTAGAGACGGGGTTTCACCGTGTTGACCAGGATGGTCTCGATCTCTTGACCTCGTGATCCACCCGCCTCGGCCTCCCAAAGTGCTGGGATTACAGGCTTGAGCCACCACGCCCGGCCCAACATTTTTTTCTTTTTCCAAAAAATGGTGCTACTGTCACACATTTTAGGTTGCTTTTCCCCATATGAATTGAATCAAACAGTGGCATCTTCATATCCTCTGTAAGCACCTCTGTAATTATGGGCTGGCCCACCAGTGGCAAAAGAAAATACAGTGGGCCATATTTTGTGTTTTTTTCAATGCATCTGTTCCACACAAGAACCACCCTCTCCTGAGTTCAAGACTCTTAGAGATGTTAACTTGTGCTGTGGATAAATTTTTTAACAAACTTCCAATGTGTTCATGAAGCAAAAACAAAGGTAAAAGACACCAAATACTACTTTTGTGAATCAAAATAGATATCAAAGCCAGTCTGTGAATTTTCTTGAGCTTAGATTTACTCCTCAGCTGGGATATACACAAACCAACCAGTGATAGAATCTATCAATTTCCATACTCAAATATTGAGTTGCTTCTGACATCTATGTAGCCAGCCACAACAGTGCTGTCTTCAAGAGCATATCCTCTAAAATGGGGAGTCTAAAGAACTGTACCCCTGAGATGCCCTAGTACTTCTTAACATCAGGCTCTTAATAAAGGGATTTTGTTGTTGTTGCCAAGGAACAGAAGTGAGAAAAAAGCTGCCAAGCCATTATAATTTGGAGTATCTTGTGTGTAGCACTTCAGGAGATTTAAAACAGTCGAAGTTCCCAAATGCAGTGAAAACCATTGAGGCTCCCAGGATAATCTATAGGTATTGAGATACCTGTGCCTAGGAGTTCCATGCTTCCTGAGAAATATTTCATAACTACCTGATGAGTGACTTATTTTATTTTCCACTCTCATAAATTACCGTTTGATTTTGATTTTTATAAGCGGCACTTTGTAACTAGCCCAATTTATTTTAAAAGTTTCTAAGTGTTTTCTCTTTCCTAGTCCCTACCATTTCTTCTGTGTAGTTGCAGAAAAGCTGCTGTGTAATGAACATACTGGCCTGCCCTGTATATTCACCTTCCTGGGCAAATACTCGGCTCATCTGATATTTAATGTGTCTTTCTTGCTGACCCTTCAGGGTACGTATATCCCCCACCACATCCAATAAGCATGATGGATTACATTCAATTTAGCTAATGCCGACCTATAACTAATTACAGCAGCATCTCAAATCAGGCTGGAGTTACAGCCTTGCCAAAGTGCCCTTTATAGAGCAGATTGTTTCCAGAGATTTACACAGCAAGAATGGTGAATTCAATTTTAAATATGAGAAGAGGATATAATGGCTAAGCTGCCAACACCAAGGGCTGTGAGTCCTAACTATTGAAGGAGATTAAGTCAATGGATCCTTAGAGCAAATGAAGGAAAATGTATATTGCAGCATCCCAGAGGTGCCTGCTGGCCATTACCCATGTTACTTACTCATGTTACCAAGTGTTATGTAGCAGGATGTGGTAGCTAGTATGGTACCTACAGGTCAAGAAAAGATTCACAATAACCTGGACAAGCTACTCTTTGACCATTCCAAGTGTGATCCTGGGGGCAAGGTACCCTCTCTTGATCTCAGGTTCCCCATCAGTAAAATGGAAAGACAGCAGAGCCTGGTTTCTAAAGGAATCCCCTCTAAAGGCCCTAACTGGACAAAATGGTGTAAAATCAATTGCCTATCTGGAGTTGGATTCTAGAATGAATATTGTGTGTAGCACTATGCAATGGGTACCCTGCATTCAGAGTCCTCCACATTCCAGCCCATTCTACCTTTCAGGCATTACCTACAACTTCCTTCCTCATGTACTGTACTCTGCTCTAGCCACCCACAGGGCAGCTCACCATGCCCTGGACACACTGTATGTGTTAATTCCTCCAGATCTCAGCTATTAGCTCAACCTAGAGGGTCCCTCTTCACTCTTCTTTCCTGATACCCCATCCCTGAGGGGCTCTGTAAGTTGAGAGTAAGTTACTCAGCGTTTCTAAACTTTGATTTACTCAATAACAAAACAGAAATAAGAACAACTACGTTGCACAATTGTGAGGATTTAATGTGATAATGTTTATAAAACATCAGCAGAATGCCTAGCACATATTAGAACCTCAATAAATGATAGCCAATATTGGTTCCAGGATTACTATTCCATCCATTGTGATTATAAAAATCAAAAATGAAATTGCATACGGAAAAGAGCTATGAAAAAATATTAAGTGCTAAGGCATTATAATACAGAGTTTACCTAGACCCTCACAATAACATGACAGTCTATGTTTTGCTATACCAACATGGACTATGGGAAAACAGGCAAGAAGGAATCCCCTCTAAAGGCCCTTACTGGATAAAATGAGACATAATCAATCAGCTATCCGGAATCAGATTCTAGAATGAATATGTGTGTAGCACCATGCAATGGGTACCCTGCACTCAGAGCCCTCCACAGTCCAGCCCATTCTACCTTTCAGGCCTTACCTGCAACTTCCTTCCTCATATACTCTGCTCTAGCCACCCACAGGGCAGCTCACCATGCCCTGGACACACTGTATGAGTTATTTCTTCCAGATCTCAGCTATTAGCTCAACCTAGAGGGTCCCTCTTCACTCTTCCTACCTGATACCACTTTTCTCCCGGTTAAAACTTCCCAGTCTTTGGCATCCCTACCTGTTCTCTGAGAGGGACCAGCCCCAAGATACACTTCTTCAACTGATCCTCAAGAAACACAGGCAGTCTTTTACAATAGCCACATGCTACAACAGGATACCTGTCTCCTCTGAAATGTTTAAAAATCTAAATACCTTTATCTCTTCCACATCTTAAACTACACTTTGTAAACTATGGCTCAGTGAAGTCTAGTATTGTTATTAGCTAAATCAAATCCACAGACATCAAAAGTAGGCTAAGACCCATCCAAGTCACCCAGATACATTATGACATTCAAATCCTCAATGGATAATTGACATCCTAATTCAGAATCATCCTAGCCACAGCAGTGGAGAAAAACTGCTTGGTCATAGGGTCATTCATCAAAACAATGCTTCTCCCTCAGGGCATGATGCATCTGCCATCTCCACCATGAAATCTTCCACAGTGCCCACATTGAGATCTAATAATTCCTTCTGTGCTCTCAGGGCACTTCGCAAGTACCTTTGTATCCACTCACTCACTTAACCAATATTTGAGATGCATTTAGCATATGTAAGAGGTGGGGGGAAGACTAAAACTCCAAGTCCTCCCTGACCTATCCATATCAGTGGAGGCAAATAGCAATAACTAAATCAACAAAGTGGTAAAGAACAGAGTTTTTTTTTTTTTTGAGACGGAGTTTCGCTCCTGTTACCCAGGCTGGAGTGCAATGGCGCTATCTCGGCTTACCGCGACCTCCGCCTCCTGGGTTCAGGCAATTCTCCTGCCTCAGCCTCCTGAGTAGCTGGGATTACAGGCACGCGCCACCATGCCCAGCTAATTTTTTGTAGTTTTAGTAGAGACGGGGTTTCACCGTGTTAACCAGGATGGTCTTGATCTCTTGACCTCGTGATCCACCCGCCTCAGCCTCCCACAGTGCTGGGATTACAGGCGTGAGCCACCGCGCCCGGCAAGAACAGAGTTTTTAAGTCCAACAATCTCCTCCTTTGTAAAATGGATTCTCCTTCATTGAGGTATGAATAGGAAATTAGATAAGCATAAAGCACCTACTCTAGTACATGCCTGGCACATGTCCAAAAAACAGTAGCCATTTTTATAGTATAATTATAATTATTATTATCCCTACTACAGTATAAAGGGATGGAACAAAGCAATGAACAAAGAGCAACGGAACAATGGTTTATTCTGCCTTGTTTGCACACCTTGCTTCTGTGGAGTTCAGTTAATGTTGATTCAAATCTGGGTGAATGGTACAGGCTTTAAGAATTCAGAGAAGCAGCCAGGCATGGTGGCTCATGCCTGTAATCCCAGCACTTCAGGAGGCCAAGGCAGGTGGATCACCTGAGGTCAGGAGTTTGAGACCAGCCTGGACAACATGGTGATGCCTTGTCTCTACTAAAAATAAGAAAATTAGTTGAGCATGGTGGTGGGCGCCTATCTGGAGTCAGATTCTAGAATGAATATCGTGTGTACATGTATCTGTATTTCCAGCTACTCGGAAGGCTAAGCCAGGAAAACTGCCTGAACCCGAGAGGTGGAGGTTGCAGTGAGCCGAGATTGTACCACTGCACTCCAGCCTGGGTAGCAGAGTGAGATTCCATCTCAAAAACAACAACAACAAAAACTCAGAGAAGGAAGGCACTATTGCAAGAGAAGAGGAGAGCCAGCATAGTCAGTAATCCAAAGCTCAGAGACATTCCAAGATCCAAGAGAACAGGGAACAAATAAGATGAGGCTTGGAATATTAGTGAAGTCACTATTCAGCCCAGCAGGAAAATGTCCAAATGGTCTGAAACTAGTCCACCATCAGGAGCTGCAATGGCTACAGACGAACCCATCTGTAAATACACAACTCTGAGGACTCTAGATTAGGGTGGAACCTGAGAATAGGTATTTTCAACAGGCAATCTAGGTGTTTTTCTTTTTTTTTTTTTTTTTTTTTGAAATGAAGTCTCCCTCTGTTGCCCAGGCAGGAATGCAGTGGCATGATCTCAGCTCACTGCAACCTCTGCGTCTAGGGTTCAAGTGGTTCTCCTGCCTTAGCCTCCTGAGCAGCAGGGATTACATGCCTGTGCCACCACGCCTAGCTAATTTTTGTGTTTTTAGTAGAGACACGTTTTCACTATGTTGGCCAGGTTCGACTCGAACTCGTGATCCAAGTGATCCACCTGCCTCGATCTCCCAAAGTGCTGGGATTACAGGTGTGAGCTACCATGTCCGGCCAAGTCATTTTAATATGTAGCCAGGTAGTACCCAGAAGCAGAAAGAGTCCTCGAATAAACTAAAAATAAAATTACCATATGACCCAGAATCCCACTTTTGAATATAGATCTAAAGGAAATGAAATCAGTATGTCAGAAAGATATCTGCACTCTCATGTTCACTGCAGCATTGCTATTCACAATAACCAAGATATGCAATCAAGCTAAGTGTCCATGGTTGGATGAATGGAAAAAGAAAATGCAGGATATACACACACTGGAAAATTATACAGGGCTTTTTTAGAAGAAAATCTTGTCATTTGCAACACCATAGGTAAACCTGGAAGACATTATGCTAAATGAAATAAGCCAGACACAGAAAGACAAATACTGCATGATCTCACTTACATTTGGAATAAAAAAAAAAAGGCAAACCCATAGAAGTATTGAATAGAATGGTAGTTAACAGAGGCTGAGGAGGCAGGGGGAGTTGGGGAGTTGGTCAAAGGGTACAAAGTTTCAGTTAGACAGGAGGAATAAGTTTTAGTGATTATTGCAAAACACAGTGACCACAGTTAATGTATTATACATCTCAAAATTGCTAGAAGAGTAGGTTTTCTGTTCTCACCACAAAAAAATAGGTGAGGTGTTACATATGTTAATTAGCTTTATTTAATCATCCCAGAGTGATGAAAATATCACACTGTGCCCCAAAACACAGATAATTATTTGTAAATTTAAAATAAAATAAGATTTTTTTTTAAATTAAGGATAAAAACCAGAAAGCAGAAAGCAGAATTAGTCCTTAGCAATGCCAGTCTTGTCTGCCCTTTACAGCTGGTTCTAATGTAAAATCTCTCCTGAGATCAGGGTCTCGCCTTTTAGCCAATGCTCTAGCACCCAGAGAGTGGATGATCATCAAGAGGCCCAAGTTCAAATCCCCAGGAATAAAGAAGAGCTTCCCAAAGGCAGTATTTCCCAGGATTAAGTACCTTTGCGAGGTCAGTAATTGTTCTTTTGGATCATTTCCTGGGATGACGACAACACTAGTCACTAAATGCTAACCATGTGGGCACTGAACTTGTCTACATCCATGTCTAATTTAACCTCTACAACACCTTGCGAGCAGATACTGCCCTTATGAAAGATGAGAAAACCTCGATTCAGAGGATTAACTAATGTGCCCAAGAGCGAGTATCTGATAAGAGACAGAGTCAAACAGGCTATTGTTATTTTGTTACCCCTTCTGCACGACAGTGAAAGGTACTGTTGTTTGACCTGATGATTCTCTCTGTCGATCTCTGGCTATATCTTTCTTGCAGACCTGGCTCAAAACCCTCAACCTCTAAAATTCCCAAGGCACTGAACAGAGCGCTCATTTCTGGTGCTGTTTAATCAATCAGTGCTGAATAAATACAGAGGTAAGGCGGCATGTTTCCGTCATACCTTTTCCCAAAGACACAAAACACATTCATATTTACTGTTTCATCGGTTCTAGTGGCTGCTTTTTCAACATTTTTTTGGATTGAGACACAAATAAGGGGTTCTATAAAACATTTAAAATGGCATTATTTACAAAGCCTCATTCTTTCCTCTAAGTGTTACCATGCTGTTTGTTGCTTTTTCTAGTCAAATGGAATCTTTTCGTTTTTATACATCCATTTCAAAAAAATCTGGTTATATAAAATGTAACTTAAAAAAGAAGTCTCCTCTATTGCTTAGCATGTTTTATCTTCTATTTTTTTCTTTATGCTTTCCCTCAGTGAGAATTCTCCTATCTTCTCTAAATAGCCCCAAACGGTTTTGCCCACTTGTTTACAACACACTTAAACCTACACTCACCATTTGCACTACTTTCATGGGTCTGTCTTTGAACCAGTTGGGAGAGAACAAGCTGTTTCCAGCACTGCCATCCATGTCTCTGAGGCAGGTCATGCTCTCAGGAGTCCTCCTCTAGGCTCCCACCCACGTGGCTGTGATCTGACAATGGAGCACACAGTCCTTTCCCGCTCACTGAAGCTTTGCCCACCCTCCCTGCTCACATCAGCCTCTCACTGCTACTCTCACAATTAAAATGATTAGAAATAAGTATACTATTTTCTTTCTAGAAATAAGCACACTGTTTCAATTGCTTTGATTAATATATAAACATATAACAAATAACATGTCATTAAATTTTAAGTAGCCTTAAATTTTAAGTGGGAGGGACAATGTTTCTAGGGGACTTTTCTTGACCACCTCATATCACCCACTAAGCAATTTCTCATTCTACCAAAAAGGAATGATTCTCATGCACTTTAATTTCCAATATGTGTATAGTGACATTCGTGTAGTCAGTTACTAAGCACTGATGACGATCTTTACCTTCAAAAACTTTCAAAATATTAAAAAGGTAACAGTACACAAAGATAAACTACTGCGTCCTAAAGGAAGCCTTAAAGTCTCTGGTTCCCATAACAGCGTCCGTCACTGATTGTCAATACTCTCTTTTCTCCTAACCAATACACTGAGATACAATTCAGTTAATTTGCAAACCTTATGTCTTATCAACAGAAATTTCCTGTGCCTGGAAATACATTTAACACTCATTCCCATGAGAAGTTTTAATACTCAAAACCCTTTAATATAGTTCCCCATTCTTTGCGCTCCCTTTTCTACAGACTGTGGCCAGGACATGTTGTTGTTGGTAATGAGCTGGACAGTTCCAAAGAAACCAGAATTATTTCAGCTAAATTTGACCCCTAATTGTAGAGAACCCAAGGCTAAACAAGACATCATCTAAACATTAAGTAATTCTGGAATCTCAAGTGAGAACAAGATTTGTTCTGTCACTCACTAGCTGTGTGCTTCCTGACAAAGTCACCAACCTCTCTGTGTCTCTGACTTCATTAGTAGTCAGAAGGTAAAACATTAAAAAAAAAAAAAAACCTGTGTTTATAGGGGTTTTATGAGGTTCAAAGCAGAGAAAAAATGTAAAAATAAACAGTATAAAGTAATATATAAATATTATCTTAGTATTCATAAAGAAAATATCTGAAGTTTTAAACATAAATAAAAAATTAAAGCATAATGTTAACTAACTCAAAACACAAAATTGCTGACATTCTAACATTCTCCTATAAATACACTAGACTTCCATTTGTGAACAGTTAGTATTGATCATACCCAAATGATGATACCACGAATTGCATTATAATTAAAATAAAAATACACTTTCTGTGACTTTTTTTTCCTTACTATCTCATGTGATCTTGATTCACGCATTCATTGTTTTCCTCATTCCATCAATATCTGAATGCCTATTGGGTGCCAGAATCTGTGCTAACTGCCACAAATTGCAGAAGAAGACACAATCCCTTCTTACTAGTCAAACTGAGTTGAGTCATAATCAATCACGTAAGAAGATTATACAACATAAAAATATTTTGGTGTGTGTACCAAGTATTGTAGGAA